GCGATGTTCGGCACACTGACTGTCCCGGTATGTGACTCGAGCCAATAGCGCGTCTATTTCCTAGTAAGGGTGCGCTCATGACGCTTCACACATCTGTAAGAACAGCGCGCTTGCGCCTAATGTCTTCGACCTCCAATCAACACATGGATCATGGCGTTCTAGCTAAGTCATATCAAAGATGAGATCATACTTCTCATTCAAGTTAAGGACTAGACAGCGTTCGATACTGTCAAAACCCGAAAACTTGACGCCTAAGTTTGCAGGAACATTAGGCACAGTTCACACCTGTCTCTCAGCGAACAGTGATAGTCTCATTCTTTCGCGCTTTCAAAGCCTCATCATACTGCTGTCTATCCTTCAGAGAAGAACGTCGGACGTAATTTCCATACGCCCCGGAGTCATTCGGTGTCGATTTTGGATTATCAAATCCCTTAGCCGTTGCTTTCGCAGCTAACAATTCTAACTTGTACTCATGCTTCATGATACTGCTCACGAAGCCAACTGGGACTAGTCCCTTTTCTTCATCACCTCCCAGAGGTACAACAAAGCCTAAATCATCCCCAGCAGGGCGCTCCGCGCCTACTGGGATTCAAATTTTTCCTGCGCCTTAACAACTCGTTGGGTATCGACGAGAGTTGGCTCGACTGAGCCTGTCTGGTCCTTCTTGAAGGAAATTTAGGGCGGAGGTGGTCGATGCTTTCGCACGTAAAACATCTACGGATGTTCTTACTCTGTTCGACAGCATAAAGCTCAGCCTATTCGTCGTTATCGGCGATACTAAGGTCCATGGGCTTTGCTCTATCCACATGATGAGCTTTGCTCGACAACTTCGAATTAAAACCCATGAGTCCCGCAACGGTCAGCTCATAGGTTGTAATGCGGTAAACGCTATGTCTGCTGCACCCTCAGATGTCGAGTTTTTTGCACGAAGCACTTCTGTTCTGGCAACGCCAGTGCGAAGCCCCTCCATGAAAATAGGTACCAGAACCGTCTCAAGTAAAAGGTCAAGCTACATAGCAGCAATAAGAGTTCGCAACTCCTGGAAATAATCGACTAAGTCCTTTTTACCCTGGCGGGTAAACAGGAAACGTGATCGCACGCTACATGCCTGATTAGGCGGGGCTAACACCCGAGATATCTGCTGTTCTAGCATTCCTCAGGTGAAAATCCTCTTATATCGAGGTGCCAGAAGTGAAGGCCTACTCCCTGGCTCGCCCATCTAACTTCGGTAGGGCCACGCCCACCTTTTGCTGCTCTGACCACAGCAGGGGCCGAGCAGATGGCAACCCACATATCTCGAGCCCACAAAAGGAGATGTGGTGGAGTGGTGATCGCTTATTTTATGAGTCGATCCCAACTCTCCACAGGCGCCCGGACGAATGACTAACGGAGGGGTTACTCCGATTCAGTGGGTGTTGCCTTCCTCACCTTGTGTACCCGTCGGTAGGTCGGGTTGCACTCTTCCAGATGCACTAGTGTCGAAGGAAAACTTGACCGCGTGCGGAAATCTTCACGCGATCACGGGGTACTTGTGGGTACTGATATAAGTTATCCTGATCTCAACGAGATCGCCTTGTCCACTGTGTGGTTGCTTGATCCGCGAGCCTTCTGACCACTTGAGCTGTCTCGCGATCTTGCGCCTTGCCTTTACGTGTTTTGCTGCGTCCGATCGCAGTTAGTGTTGCTTGAGAGTTCTTGAACACACCTGGACAAAACAATCCAGGTGTGATACTTGCGTAGACGTGTAGCGCGACCCTTTACTCGACGGGGGCCAAAGACCCTACCCGGAAGAGATAACGTGTGCCTTGTAAAGTAAATTGAACTCCGTTTAATGTTAACCAACCAACCTAAACCCTACCCCTATGCCTATCGTATATCCTAACCAGATGCCACGCGTCGCCTTTCCAGGAAGATCGTCCCCTCGCATTTGTGTGGTCCACACCCAAAATATCAGCCGTTGTATCTTCTTGTGGCCCACCCAAGATATACCCATGATCCTGCTAGTGGATCGTGATCCTACGAGCGGATCGTGATCCTACGAGCGGATCGTGATCCTACGAGCGGATCGTAATCCTACTAGTGGATCGTGCTCCTACCAGTGGATCGTGATCCTACTAGTGGATCGTGATCCTACTAGTGGATCGTGATCCTCCTAGCGGATCTTGATCCTACCAGTGGATCGTGATCCTACTAGTGGATCGTGATCCTACTAGCGGATCGTGATCCTACTAGCGGATCGTGATCCTACCGCAGCTGAGATCGGACTTGCAATCCTGGGTTAGGATCGCGGTCTTCCAGTGAGATCGAGGGTCCTGTCTTGCCATATCTCATGACGGATTGCGTAATCAAAACGGGTGTGACCACCCTATAGCCTCGTTCCAGGCTGTACGATCCTGTCTACTTGGGGTTTGGGTACGCTTTTGCCAGCTACCCGTCCCGGCCTGTATCCACCAATCATAGCATTCTTGGCTTAACTGAAGCGTGCGACCCGTGCGATCACCGATCCAAGTTCCATTAGAAATTTCCTTGTGACCGCTTTGCCACAGAGATTTTATCCCTCTTTTTCCTCAAAAGTCTTGACACAAAAGAAAAGAGGACGAGTCCTTGACTCAGAGTCCGGTATTGTAACATACCGAGCAGGCACGGCAGATGCCAAACGGTCATGGACCTGTCTGACCAACGTGGACTCAAAATTTGAGAAAGCCTCGAGACATGCACGAAGTGCGTCCGGCCGTGAGCCACTATAGCTCAAGGCCGGACGCACTTCGTGCATGTCTCTTTCTCCTTCCCGATCAACGCCGCGAGCTTCTCAAGCGTAATTTGATGGGCCTCAGAAAAATTTATGGACGTTTCCATCCTCGCAGAGGATTTATTACGTGAAGACTCAGGTGTTGATTGACTACAAGTGCTACCCAAGTGTAGCGGAGCTACTTAGCGCTCCGTAACAGAGGAAGTCTTAGACTCAAAGAGTCTCTTAGTTATAGCAAACTAACAACGACGTACAGTCGTTCAAAAGTACAAAGCTTAACAATCCCGGTTTCAAAGGGATTACGATTTACAGAATTACACACTAACTAGAGACTACTAGTTAAACAATAGTCAACACCTTGGCAAGGCTAATGCTTCTACAACGTACTACGCCTTCACTAGGCACTTGTGTCCAACGATTCAAAAGGCGAACTGAACTTTATTTATTTTCTAACTACGGTAAAAAAAACTAAAACCGTCTCTGACTGACTTCTACACTGCGATCCTATGAAATAAGTCTTATCCCTACCCGATAAGGTGCGGTTTTACCGTAAGTACGTGGTGCCAAGACTGTACCGCTCCGATCCACCAATCTTTACTTGGTGTGAACATAAAACATAACCGGTTTATTAACCGCATGTAACCCCGTTACAATACATGACCACCTGAACGCTCCAACTAACTTACAGAGGGATTAGACAGAAGCCATTTAATGCTCGCGGCGAACTGCTTGTATATCTCCGCCCAGCATCCGGGTAAGAGAGTTTGCCAAGGAGTAACGATAGGCAAAAATTGTCTGTTACCACCTGTGCCTGCTGCAAACGCGACTACAGAAGATGGTGCACTTTTGCGCTTGTTTACCTGATGTCCAAGGAGCCGGTAAGCCAGCGCAAAAATGAAACAAAACAAGAAATCAACGGACAAAAGATTGATGATGAGGGGTTGAACTAATTTGCTGTGTATGATCCAGCCGAACTGGTTGACAATTTTAAATACCCTATGTCAATTTGTAGCATGCAAAATACTGGTCAAATAGCATTACCCAGCTCGGCAAGAAGGACGTTCAGTAGGTATCTCTTCAACCAGACTTATAACTAAGGAGAGAACAAAATTCATTGTGGTGAGGATTTTAATCATCTGAATACAGGATGCTGTCTGCGATTACGAAAATATCTTTCTTCGTACATGTGCGACAGCCACACAGACCAACAGTCCTTCTAGGTGAGATTCCACGGTTCCTCGTATTCTCTATGGGACATGCTACGGTCTGTACTCGCTGAAGAGATAAATGATAGAACAATTTGTCTTTCGATAAATGAGATAAATCTTTTTGAATGGAACACGCAACTATAGAAGAAGGCAAATTATTGCCAACAGTTTCCGATATCACTGAGTTGGAGTCCCAGAACTATTGAAACGACTTTAGTGACTGTATCACACAGAACAGGCATTGTATAACGGGACACTGGTCACTAGTACTGCTTTAGTACTAGTGCACCTACACTGACAACAGTGTAGGTAGTGCCGCGCGTCACTTCACGTACACTGTACGTGCAGAGGAAGCCTAGCTAGTGAACGACGCGTCCAATAGGAGTAGAAGTAAAACTGTGTTAAATGTAATGAAGTCCTGATCATTAGCCTACGCTTTAGTCCTAACTTAGTTATTTTAATCTACTAACGTGTATACTAAAGTCTTGCTCACCACTCATTGCACGCGTCCATCGTGATTGGACCGCTAGAGCTGGCTGATATGATGGCTCATATCAGCCAATCGGTGAGTGCTTTGGAATATTACCCCTTTTGGTAATAATCACGAACATCATCAACCTTTATGATAATATTCTGATTAACAAGTATCAAAGTTAAATGCATGGAGCATGCTCACCTTGTTACACATGTATTGGTCCATCAGGAATCTCGAGCCAAGTGAAGTTGCGTTACAATCGTTACGAAGGATTTGGCGAGCTTTCCCGTCTTGTAGCACTATTCGATTGCACGCGTCGCATTTACAAAACTGGCAAATGACTCGAATACTTCTAGAATGATGCGGGAGTAAAGTAGAAATGAGACACATGAGCCTTCTTTATCGCACATGTGGGTTGTGCCGGATTGCACTAAAATGGCCAACGTAGATTCGTTTTCAATTGTACGTAGCTGCAAGCACACGATCCGAAGCCGACATGAACGGCGCACCTGTGTCCAATTCGATAGAAACCTTCTTCAACGTGACAGGATTTTCGCTGGCTGCTAAGCTAACGACCACGAAAACTGCACTGACAGGCGGACTTCGCACGACGGCATTTCCGGCATTGTTGTACACGCTGCTGCTTCGGGCTACTATCGTTGTCATCACGGCGGTTCCTGTCGTTGTCTGAACGGACACCGTAGCCGCGGTTGTGACTGTAGTCATTTCCCCGACTGCCACTGCGGTTGTAGCGATCACGACTGCGACTACGACTGCGACTACGACCACGATCACGGCCGTGCTCGTTGCGGCGATGCCTTCCACGACGTTGGTCCGCAAACTCGTCACTGCGTGTATTTTCGCGCTCGCGCTTCCACTTTGCACGAGCTTCGTCATCGTCTTCTTTCATCTCAATACAGCGCTTACAATAGCGCGCACTTGCGCCGCCAACGCACATACCGCGGCAGCGGCCAAAGTCAGGCTTTTTCATCGATTCAACTCCCTCTGGACGATTGTACCATATTGGTGCCGCCTGGAAGCGCTGAGCGACCCGATTGCAGATCACCTCCACGTAGTCGTGAATAGCTTCTTTCGAAATAAACTTTTCATAGAGCTCATTCGCACGAGCCGCAATCTGTTCACACTTTATGTCATTTTCGCGGCACCATCGAATCTTCTCGGCCAAGTCCGACAGATCCGCTCGGACGGGCACGTGGTCTTCGAACGGTTTGAGAACCGGGTAGTACCACATCTCGTCGGCAACGCAGCGTGACTCGACCTTCAGAATCACGCTACCCAGGCGCATCAAGAAGGCGTAACGGTTTGCAGCGCAATGGCCTTCAACGTACAAAATGTACTTAAACTTGGACTGCTCATAGATAGGGATGAAATGCTGACGCCCTCCCTCGAAAATTAAGTCCTCGTGGCGCAAGAACGTTATCGGCTTGCCAGCTATCTTCTTATCGCGGAGGTTCCACGTCGTTACTTCCGCATTCAGTAGCGGTACTAATTCTTCGTTGGCGTCGTCCCCTCCTCCAGCATCTCTTTCGGCTTCACCATTCATCGTTGGATCTTTCTTCCACGTATTGGAGAGGTGTGCCAAGTGAAGGCGCTGATTGGTTTCGATAGTGGTGCCACCACCCGTTGCACTACCACGAAAAAATGCTGTGTTTACCTTGTCGTGCCATGGCTTGTAAAACTTTTGGAAGTTGTTGGCCGTGAACAGGTCGCGCGCACCCTCAATACCGTGTCTTTTCCGGCCGTTCGCACCTGCCTTGCAAAAACACTCCCAGTCATTTTCGCAATGCACTGGGTTGCGACACGGGCACTGATCACAATGAGTATGTCGGAATGACTGCGGAAATACCAGTCCCGTAGCTGCTTCCCAGTCCTCTGAACATGGAAATGGAATGTCTGCGAAGCGCTTGGATACATAAAAGCTCATGATTGGAGCATACGTGGCGTAGAGGTGCTCAGTAAGGGGGATGTCCTCATCTGGATTTCGGTCATTCTTGTCAAACAGGAATCCGTAGGGTTCGGTCAGGTTTTCCTACTCGTTGTTTGTACGATCCACAAACTGTTAAACGTGACATGCACAAGTTCCAAGATCAGGTGTCAACAGTCATGCACGCACCTTCAAATGCGGGTAGTCGCGCTTGTTGATAAAGAACTCACAGTCTGCGATATTCCGGTGCTTGCATGCATCCTCCAGCATGTCGCGCAGTTGAGTGAGAAACTGATCGCCCCAGTACTGCGTCTCATCTTCTTTATTGCGATACCGGCAGTGCTCGTTGCAAATGATGTTGCCATTTGCCCACCACTTGTTGACGTCTGGGATAATATTCTCCCGCCGGTAGAAATGCCGTTTCTCGCGATAGTACGCAGACAAGGTGCCGTCCGAGCTGTCGACCGTCACGTGCTGTCCCCAGTTGTTGACGTAGTCTTTGTTTGCAAAGGGCGCAAAAATCACCAACCGCCGCCGACGGATCATCACCAAAATGCCGCACCGCATGTGGAAGAACAGATAGTGCAGCGTATTGACCGTCGACTCGCGGTTCGTTTGCTGGTGGAAGGGCATGTTCACGCGATAGTCGACGCCCTCGGCGATGGGAAGGCCTTCGCCCTGTGCAAAGCGGTTGTCCGCACTGAGAGGGGGCGTGGACCCCACGGGGTACTTGAGGTCGTACTCTTTGATCTTGGGGAGGAGGATGTCGGTTATCTGCTTCCAGTCCACGAGCAGTGAGAAGACGTGCTGGAGCTTGGGGAAGTCCGGGTTCGAGCCCCGCCAGCAGTGGCGACGGATAAAGGCCTCGCACTCGGTCTTGGTCGCGAACTTGGGCACGCCACTGGAGGTCTCGGACATGACGACGCGACGCCACTCGGGAGTCTCCTCGTCCTCGAACGCAAAGATGCCGCGCAGCATCGGTTGCTCGTTCATGGCAAATGTGGAAATAAGGCACGGCTGGGGGATCGGCTCGTTTTTTGGTAGGCGAGTTGATTCGCTCGGCGGCGTTGGATGTAGGTGACTCTATTTGATGCAGTGGACTCTATTTGATTCAGCGGACCTTGTTTGATTCAAGGGAATCTATTTGATTCAGTGGACTCTATTTGATTCCCTCGATTCTATTTGATTTCCTCGACTCTATTTGATTGACTCGACCGTATTCGGAACAGCGGTATTTCTTTCGAGTGTTGGGATTGGCTACTTTTTTCACATCACGCATCACCTCCTTGTCGTGTTTATTCAATCTCGACAATGTGGTATGAAGCTGTTTGTCTTTTTTCCAGACGCCATGGGTCTACACAGTTCACAGAAAAAGGACCGAAAGAGACAACGACCAAAAACAGTCCTCGGAATTCTAGAGTCGTCATCTGTTTCATCACTCGCGTTGCAGCTCTGTTGTCGTAGGTGTAGTAGCAGTTATGCGACTTGAAGTAGTCGTACTTTTTGTCAGTCCAACACCGACAAATAAGTCATAAAGTCGCACACACACACATAGAAATCGCAAGTAAATGCTCAGCGAGACCTCGCAAGTTGCGTCCAGCTCAAATCCGAGCAACTATCGTCCGCACTAAACCATCACTGGCCAACAAACTGTCCCATCGATCAGTTTTAATTGTTATTCTCTGCACCCACAGCTTTTGGTCGTCCAGCATACGAAACGCCCCAGTCGTTCTCCAGCAATTGACGATCGCAGCGTCGCAGTCGTTTCTGCCCCCACATTTGTCATGGCGCTTCTCTTGAAAAAACGACGCATCCATTTTTGCTTTATGGCAAAAAGCCAGTGAGTGACTTCGCACTCACTTTCAGTTGAGCCGCGTCTTTTCATGAGCCCAACGGAGCAGCCCGAGGCGACGTCCTCACCGCCAAACAGCGCCACAGACGCGGTCAATACAGCGAAGCAACAGCTTGAAGACGGAGACCAAGATGCGCAAGAGCTACAAGGGCAGCAGCAGCAAGAAGAGCTTCAAGAGGAGCTGCTAGGGGAGCAGGAGCAGTCAGAAGAACATCAAGAAGAGCAGTCAGAACACCATCAAGAAGAGGAGCAACAAGAAGCGGAGCAACAAGAGGAGGAGCAACAAGAGGAGCAGCCACGTGCGCACAGGGGCTTTTCCGTGTTTAATACCACGACGGGACACGCTCCGGCGTCGACGGCTGCTGCTGACCGCGCTCGACTCGTGTCGTCCGAGTCTTCCGACTTTTTCGACTTTTTGCGGCACCACTCGGACGACCACATTCATGTGTTTGACGAGCCGCCTGAAGTGCGCGTGCTCGGGGGTCGCTCCGAGGAGTCGTGGCCCACGCGTTATGTCGAGTACGATGTCGAGGTACAAGAACGAAGGGAGATGTGGACCGTGTGTGGGTCTTTTCTGCTGCATGCACTAACGTTGTGTTCTTTGTATGCTGTGTCTCTTTTCGTTTGTAGTTGAAGTACAAGGCTTTCAAGTGGAAGGTGGAGATTTCCAAGTCGTCGATATCAAGTCTCTGGTTTTATATCAAGAGTCGTCCGCATCTGCGTCATGCACCGTCGTCTGCTGCTTTTATGCCAGCAGATGGCCACGGTGTTGGCTCATCCGGCGTGCCGGAAGCTACGCCTTTATCCTCTGACTCTCGATGGCCACAGCTCCGCAAATTGTTCTTGGCGACGGGCGAAAAGTGTGTGAGTCCCGAGATGATTGCGCTCGTACAGCAGTTGCTGGACACGGTGGTGCAGGTGCCGCGATTGCTACGATCACCGTATGTGGCTGCACTGTTCCAGGTGAGTAACTCGACGTTTGACGATGAGATGGGTAGAACGTCTGTCCGTGAAGGGTGGTTGAAGGCGCGCTTTTGGCTCAAAGGAAATCGCGAAAACGTCCGGATCAACCGGGCGTCCATGGCATGGGATAATGAGTTTTTTAATTGCATGTGCGTGGTGAAGCGCGTGAACCTTCGTGCAAAAAGTCTGTGCTGGGTCTCGCTGAAGACGTCGAGTATCGCCATTTATGACTCGATTGAAGACACGAACGCACGCAAAGCCTTTTTGTTTGACAAGAAGTTCAACATCGAGCGCGGTCTTGCTACCACCGGGTCTACCACGACGTTGCTCGTCACGAACGCAACGTATGTACTTCAGATGGAAGCAAAGTCGAAGCAGGTGCTTAAGAAATGGGCGAACGACATTCGGCGGGTGGCAGATGCCTCAAATTGGTCACAGTCACACCGCGACGGATCTTTTGCGATTCCACGCAGCCCTGCACATATGACGTCGTTCGCACAATGGTACGTCGACGGCCATGGTGCCTATGAAGCTATGTTTCACGCTATCCAGTCGGCCAAAAAAGAGATTTTTATCGCTGGCTGGTGGGTTTGCCCAAGCATCCATCTGCTGCGTCCCGCGGAGCAATACCCCGAGTCGAGACTAGACCTTATGCTGAAAAAGAAAGCAGAGGAGGGTGTGCGAGTGTACGTGCTGATGTACAAAGAGATCGCAATGGCGCTTACCCTTAACAGCCTGTACTCGAAGCAGGTTTTTGACGAATTGCATAAGAACGTTCATGTGCTGCGCGACCCGGATTTCCTGATGAAGCAGCTAGGCTTGTGGTCGCATCACGAGAAGATCGTCAGTGTCGATCAGAGAGTGAGTTTTGTGGGTGGCTTGGATCTGTGCTTTGGTCGCTGGGATACCCACGGTCATGAGTTATTCGACGAGCCTGAGAAGCCAACGAATTTTGTGGGCAAGGACTACTCGAACCCGCGTGTCAAGGACTTCATTGAAGTGGACCGTCCAGACGAGGATATGATCGATCGTAATGTTGTGCCCCGTATGCCGTGGCACGACTGCCACTGTCGTCTGGAGGGTCAACCAGCTCGTGATGTGGCTCGACACTTTGTCCAACGTTGGAACTACTCCGTTTCTACTCGCAAGAAATCGCGAAAGCTGCACCACCTTGTGCCAATGAAAGACTATGCGGTAGTGACCATCGACAAACGCAACCCGAAGAAACTGACAAAGCGGCTTCAGAAGGCTGTGCATGCAGTCCGTGCAATGCGCGGATTGTCGAGCGCTGGTGCGAACAACGGCAGTCGCGGATTCAATAGCGAGCGACGGATGGCGCGCATGTTGAGCAATCAGAATATATCGGGCGATATGTCGACTGCTCAAGACGGTAGAGCAGGCACACTGTTAAATTTGCCTGACGACGATGATAGCGATGAAGCGTTTGAACGACATCGGCGGCAAGTGGCTGCTCGGGGTTTTCGTGTCAATACGCAGATCCTGCGCAGCTTATCGCTATGGTCAGGAGGTGTGGCCACGGAACGCAGTATCCAGGACGCATACATTCGTCTCATTGGGTCGTCAAAGCACTTTGTCTACATTGAAAACCAGTTTTTCGTGTCAGGACTTGAAGGAGATCATGGGTGTTCCAACCGTATCGCTAATGCGCTGGTGGAGCGAATCATTCGTGCGTCGAACAACAACGAGCAGTTTCGAGTGATGGTGGTGATGCCGTTGCTGCCAGCTTTCCCGGGTAAGCCGGATGACAAGGATGCTAGTAGTTTGAGAGGTGTGATGCACTGGCAATACCGCTCCATCTGTCGTGGCGAAAACTCTATCTATCAACGTTTGTACCAAGAACTGGAGGACGATGATCCGTTCAAGTACATAGCGTTCTACGGGCTCCGAAATCACAGTGACCGCGAAGGTGCTCACGCCCAGACCGAGGAGGTTTATATCCACAGCAAGGTGATGATCGTTGACGACCGGTCCTGCATCATTGGCTCCGCTAATATCAATGAACGCAGTATGTGTGGTGACCGCGACTCTGAGATTGCCGTGGTCGTGGAAGACCATGAGCTGGAGAAAGGGGTCGCACTTGCCAGCGGGGCGTTCAATGTGGGTAAGTTTGGGCACTCTTTCCGTATGAAGCTGTTTGAGGAGCACTTTGGCGTTGAGCCAGGGACGCCGTTGTACAATAAGTACCAAGACCCTGTGGAGAAGGATGCGTGGTTCTCTATGCAAGAACAAGCGATGAACAACCACCAGATCTACGACTCGGTGTTCGGCTGTTTGCCATCGGACAGCGTCACAACCTTTGCTCAGATCGATTCGCACATTCAATCCGCTCAAGGACTCGATACTTCTGGCCGTGGTGCAGACGAGGCAGTTGCCGCGGCGTTGGAAAGCAGCGCAGGTGCACTCAGCGACAACAGTGACCGTAATCGAGCATCCTCGTTGAGTGGCATAGCCATGTCGCCTCACGATAGTGTGAGAGCGAGACGAACGCAGGGGAGCAAGGCGGCGTTCAGCGGCGCGATGAACGTCAACATGAAAGAGAGTTCGCACATTGCCGAGAAGAAGCACGAGCTGAGCAATGTGCAGGGCCACATTGTGTACTTCCCGCTCGAGTTCCTCGTGGATGAGCAGCTGGAGCCCAAGCTGTTCCCGGCTGAGCTGTTCCAGTAACGAGGTCACTGCATCCTCGTCATCTCCTTCTGTTTTCCTCCAACTGCAGTTGCTAGTGCATTACCGCACGATCGTTAGGATGGACTATTCACGAGAACAAACGAGCGCTGTCATGATTCCAACCGACCATCTCCATCGGCAGCCTCATTTTTGCATCATTTGAAATAGCTCCAGCTGGGAAGAAACAGGGTGTGCATGTGTGTTGCAAAATTGTCAACCTCGCCAGTGTGTACAGGATCTGGCCATCTCACTCGAGATCAGCAAGCACTTTCGACCGGCAACCTGCCGTTACCCAGCATCTCAAGCCACGAAGCGACTTTCCTCGACAGAATCCGGCCACAACGCTACGCTACGAGCTCGATCGATTGAGCGATCGATCGATCGATTGCGCGATGTATATAATCCATCCACACGAAAACGTTTCTCAGTGCCCCTCTCGTCGCTTCGACCGTCGGTGTCGCGCCACCTTTCTTGCCAAAAAGCCCTTTCCGTCTCAACTCATCCAGCACAAGTCTCCAAAGGCCACAGCATGCACCACCAGTCCAAGCAGCAGTCGCAACTCTCCTCTGCACCTCCGCCACAGGGAGTCAGACAACCCACAACCCAATCGACGACCTCTCGCTCGCTCGCGCGCTCTCATTGGATTTGCAGCAGCAAAACGAGCTCACTCGTCATTCTCGATCGATCGATCGCTCGTTACAACCAACTACTGCACACCTCATTGTCGTAGCAACCACGTAATTCTACTAACCCCCTCCTTCCACCCGCCCGCCCGACTCAACCTTCTGTTGCGAACCCCGATGCCATGGGCTTGAAAAAGTGGCTCAGTCTCTCAACGTCGCAAGCGCCCGAACGTCCCGTCAAAGGCGACACAACCGTCGTATCCACGTTTGCTCCTTCCCAGTCGCACTCCAAGGCCCAGCAGCGACAACAGCAGGAGACGCATCGCCGTCACACGACGTGGGAATCCCAGCAAGGACAACGTCAGACGTCCAACCACCCGTCAACTCGCAGCAGTATCGTGCCTCAATCTCGTCCTGACAAGTTTACACCCACGGGCTTTTGGGAGCGAGAGCATCGCGTCTCCCGCACGTCAATGCACGTGCCGAATCCCGACAACGACACCATGTGCTCGATGAAAACAGCTCTGGAGTCTCCACTAGCGGAGCAGCTTTTGGAAGAGAATTCGGACGTGTCTATTGGAGCAGATGATGATGATGATGATGATCGGGACGGTTCGTCCATGGCAAATGTCGTGTCGGTTGCTCAGTCAACGCGGTCATGGAAGAAGGTCTTGGGTCAAGCTGCAAAGCTCGACGTGGGTCTAAAAACCATGAAGACTCGAGTGGGCGAGGATGGAGCTGCAGGGTGGAAGGGTACGAAAGCTCGCTGCAATGAGGTATCGTTGCAGTCTCGCGAGAAGGAAAAGACGGGAGTGGTGATGCAAGGATGGCTGGAAAAGTGCGGGCAGCAGTTCAAGACGTGGAAGTGGCGGTTCTTCGTGCTGCGGAAAGACGGCGTGCTGGCGTATTATACGGACGAGACGCTCAGGAAAATGAAAGGAGCTATTGATGTGAGCTATGGGTCCGATGCCGACGTGTCGGTGCAGTCCAATTCCATGGACAAAGCGTTTGTGTTTCTCATTGCTACGTCCCAGCGGCATCTCATGATCTCGGCGCCGTCACAGCCGATGATGAAAAAGTGGATTGCCCGACTCCATGCTGCTGGAGCAGTTCCGACGGATTCATGGGATCCGCTGAACAAGACGGTGAAGTTTTACGTGCATGATACGAAGGTCAACCACGAATGGAAGCACTACGATGACCCTACATCGCATATTCACATGGAAGGCTTGTTGCTCAAGAGAGGGCATGTCAACAAGAACTGGAGAAACCGCTTCTTTCGGATTGAAAAGGGTGAGTTGAGGTATTACACGGAGAACCAGAGCGTGCTGAAGGGGTCGGTGCCGCTGAACGACACGATTGTTAGTCCTGGTATGGCGCAGTGCCCTGATGGACGGACCTACTACTTCGTGTTGACGTCCAAGGACGGCACGTTTGAGATGCACTTGAATGCACGTGATGAAAACTCGATGCATTTATGGATTGAAGCGTTGCAAGAAGCGCAGACAGCACTAGGCAGGATGGAAGGTACGAGAGATACCGTGGCTGGCTTATCTCTCGTGCTGAAGCGCGCAGAGGAGATCCCTCTCGGCAAGATTAGTGTGCTCTTTCGACGACCGGAAGATATCACTATCGAGATGCAGAAACGCACGGAGGCTCTCATTGTGGCATCTAGTCCGGACAATTGCGCGATCGCTGTGGGTTGCCAGCTGATTTCGATCGAGGGCCATAGCGTCCTTCGAAGCACGTATGCGGAGGCTCGCAAGAGCTTGCGTTCGTCCTCGTTCCCGCTTCAGCTGGAATTCCTTCTGCCGCCGTTTAAGCGTGGTGTGTTGATTAAGAAGTCTCGCTCTGGCTTTGAGAACTGGAAGAAGCGTGTGGTCATTGTGGCAAACGGTGAAATCCGCTACTACAAGCAAGTGTTGTCAGAGAGCGACAGCAAGAAGGCCCCGGCCGAACTCAAGCACCGCAAGTCTTTTTCGCTATATGGCTGCTACCTGAACTTAGTGCAGATGCCAGGACGCGAGATGTGTATTGTGGTGGCGCGTTCGCCCTCGGACAAGCTAGTATTGGAAACTCGCACGGAGGAAGAACGCATAGATTGGGCCAGTGTTATCTACTGCAGCATCCGCATGGTCTCGCAGGGCATCACATCGGGTCTGATTGAGAATCTACAGCTGGAAAAGCCGCGACGGTCATCAAAGCGCGCGACGACTGATGTCAAGGGCAAGTTCGAGGATCGCGCCCAACACAAGTTCTAGAGGACTACCCGTGTTTGATGTCAACTGTGCACGGCGAGGCTGATGTTCATAGCTACAATAAAGTACCCGGACTTGTCGTTTAAATTGGTACTGTAGCAGCCAGTACAGTTGTATAATTACTGTCATTAATAAATAAAGTATGTTTAACGAAGCAGCGGCACTAGTAGTGCTCTTTGCCATGTTTGAACAGCTAAAGCTTCCACTTACACTCCCGACCGGTGCTTTCGCCCGGTACGAATCGTGTCGTTCGCACTGAATATGCATCGGATGGTATCCGCATCACGTTGTCTAAAACTCGTGCGAAAAATGACCGTGTGGAAGAGGCGCTGCACGATTTTCACTTGCATAGCAGCAAATAGTGCGTAGAAATCGAAGAACTGTCGATCTGGAAGAGAACACTTTTGCGACACTTCGGTTACTGACCAGCATCGGCCTTGTGTATGTTGAAGTAAGCAAGTTTGTTTCTTTGTTACTCGGTACAGATGGCGAGGTTGAAGAGCCAACTCAAGCATCTGTCAGGTCGTATGGTCTCGATCTAGCCATTGAGAGAGATCACCAATCTTGCGAGATGAAGTGTTAAAGTGCGAATCCATAAACCGCAAACTGCATTCCTGACATCAGTCGTCCCTCGTTTCCAGTAATTACGGATCCTTACACGGTGATGGAGTTGTTCTACTGTAGAGGTCGACGACCACCTCACTAACTTTACTTCGTTGCCTGAGACGACAAGGTCATTATTCTTACGTTGCCTACCACGATAATGCGCATGGGTCGGCCTGGGTCAAAATTGCTCACTTACTGAGATGATGGGAGTTCGGAGGCCGATGCGATGCCGTATTTGCTCGTTGTGAATGTTCTTACGGTCATGAGCTGCATCTTCTCATTGCAAATGATCTCATGGTGACTTGACGTCGCACGCTTTTCTCTCGTAAGTTGAACTCACTTCTCACTGCTCGATCGATGATGAAATTACCAAAGCTCGCTCCAAGATCTTCCATGTAATTCGATCTTAACCTGTCTTCCTGACCTGCCGATTCAAGTAGATAGGAAGACGTGTATGGTTCCAGATTCGCGCGCAAGAAACGATCATAGCATAAGCGATAAAACCCAAGTTTGGTACTTCGCTCGAACTGCTTGTCAGAATAAAATACAACATCCGTATTTTAGATCACTCCGAGTCTCCCGCTATTTTTTTGGCTGGCACCAATGGCTAAGCTCCACCATCTCCTTGTCAATTTCCAATTGGCCAATATTCCAAATACACCGCACGCGATCTCCACTTCCACGAGCATTACGAAAAGTCGAAGTCCGTCCGTGCGTTCGTCTTCCCTTCCATATTCCCTTCCTTCAGCCTGGTAATATGTGACACTACCTTCCATACAAACCCTAACAATTATCTAAAATATCCGGCAACTCTATACCCATTCAATGTTCTTGTTTAGCAGAGCGTGTAGATGGCGGCGGCTGTAGCTGGTGCGACGAATCGAGTTTGATTTTATTCCTGAACATAAGGTAGACCTCTGATTCGTTATACCACTATTCCAATACAGAAGACAATAGTCTGTATCCGATTGCGATCCTCGTGGACGAACTCAAACATGAAGACGTTCAATTGCGTCTCAACTCGATCCGCCAGATCCGCATCATTGGTACGTCCCTCTCCACCCCTCACTTGCTTGTATCAAGTATAAAGGGCTTTTGTATGAGCTTTTTACTTTCATGTATTAACAGCTACAGTTGTTATGTTTGTTTCTCGATTCTATTTATAGCGGAGGCATTAGGGCATGAGCGGACGCAGAATGAGCTGCTGCCCTTTATGAACGGTACAAAAAACTCAGTTTGTGTGTTCCATTTGTTTCGATAGTATCAAGGTGGTCATGACGATTTCTCTCTCTCTCTCTTTTTATCTGGATACCAGACTCGCTCGATGATGAAGACGAAGTGCTGCTTGTGATGGCTGAAGAGCTCGGAGATTTCGTAGATGTGGTGGGAGGTCCAGCTTATGCTTACTTGCTGCTCAAACCCTTGGAGTCGCTCGCAACAGTCGATGAAGCTTCTGTCCGGAACATGGCAGTCCGCTCGATCTGCAAAGTCGTTGAAGCAATGGAAACGGAACACGTGGCTGAGCACTTTGTACCGGTGCTCCGGCGCCTTGTCACACGTGACTGGTTCACCTCGCGCATTGCCTCGTGCAGCCTCTTCCAGGTTGGCTACTCCCGTCTTTCGACTGAGATGCAAGCAGAGATGCGCAGTATGTTCGGCCAGCTCTGTCGAGATGACACGCCGATGGTGCGCAAAGCTGCGTCTGCTGCCCTTGGTGGTTTTGCTTCTGTAATGGACGGCCATAGTGCCAGCTCGGAGATGCTGCCATTGTTTTTGACACTGGCAACGGACCGCCAGGATTCAGTCCGAATACACACGATCGACAATGCTGTTGCGCTGGCACGCCTCGTGCCGTCCGATGTACTTCCGACGCAGGTGTTGCCAACCATCTTTGAGACGGCACGTGATGCCTCGTGGCGTGTGCGTTGGTCGGTTGCCAACCGGTTTCCAGAGATTTGTGACGCGTTGACTGCTGAGACTATAAATTCGACGTTCTGTGACGCATTTGTCTCGTTGCTGGAGGATAATGAAGCTGAGGTGCGCACTGCAGCCACGTCGAAGATCCTCGGTGTTGCGAGGCTTCTGCAGCCGCAGCGGATTGTGGAAAAGGTTGTGCCCTGCTTCCAGCGTCTAGCGCGTGACATGTCCGACCACGTGCGCTCTGCGCTGGCCTCTGTGGTGATGAAGGTCGCTCCATCCTTAGGCCGAGACCTCACGATTGAGCACTTACTGCCTCTTTTTCTGCTTGTACGTGATGTGTGATGGCTCTTGTCTGTCTGGGAGCACGTCGTTGTGCTGATTCGTTTTGTTACCTATAGCTGCTCAACGATCAAAACTCGGAAGTGCGGTTGAATGTTATCTCGAACCTGGAAGAGGGCAACACTGTACGTCTGCTCTGCATGCACAGTCAAAAGTTGTGTGGCTTGCTCACGTATAATTGTTGACAGGTGGTTGGAATCGAGCTGTTGTCGCAGTCACTTCTGCCTGCAATCGTGCATCTTGCGGAAGACCGCCAGTGGCGTATTCGTCTCGCGATTATCGAATACATCCCGCTGCTCGCTGTCCAGTTGGGGCGTGACTACTTCGAAGAGCAGCTGGCCGAGTTGTGCATGGCGTGGATGGTTGACAACGTTTTCTCGATTCGGGAGGCGGCCACGGTCAACTTGAAGAACTTGACTGAGCACTTTGGTGTGGACTGGGCACGTGCGAGTGTGGTCCCGCGAATTCTGGCCATGCACTCGAATGCCAATTTCTTGCATCGCTTGACATCTTTGCACGCGGTAAACGTGCTTTGCGAAGCCATGACCCCCGATTTGATACAAACGCTGCTTATCCCTCTGGCTGTAGAGCTGGCCCAGGTCAGGACACTGTGGTGATGGTGTATCGCTGGTAGGTGTGGAGGTGAAGTTTCTTACTCTTCGTTGTTGCTGTTGTTGCTGCTGTGTAGGATCCGGTCCCGAACATCCGTTTCAATGTGGCAAAAACATTGGAGGTGCTCGGTTCTAAAGTAGATGCGGAAGCTCGCACGAATACTATAGCCCCGTGCCTGGGTGTCCTATTGCAAGACGGTGACACCGATGTTGTCTTCTTTGCGCAGCGAGCTCTCTCGACGCTTGGCTAGTGAGGCGATATCGTCTGTACCACATTTTCGAAGAACGATGGCTGCGGTCTGCGAGAAAGAACTCAAGCATACTTGTGAACGAGCACCGGGTGATACTAGATACACAGCAAAAGTTTGAAGCCTGTTGTATTCTTGCTCATAGTTGTGGTACAGCTTCAGAGTTGTGCTATCCCGCGGAAATCGTGGATGGCGTGCCACATGTCCAGCATTCCCATAATTAACGAGTCGCTACTGGTACTACAAATACAATATCGATGGCACTCGTTACCCTCCGCTGAATCTGCCCCCAAATACCCCATCGCTGTCTACTTCAAAAACCGTCTGTACTAGCTCAAATGCGAGTACTCCCTTTTGATCTTTTGTTGGTAAGTCTGCAACACAAGCAAGCTTCAACAATGCCTCTTTTAGCATACTTCGCGTTGTTGCGTTTTACCGTCGTCATCACGTGCGAATGCAAAGCGCGCGACCAACATTGTGTCTGCAATACGCCGAGCCCATCTTGGTAAAGAACAGACGAATGATGCATCTGCACGGCGACAGTTGCCTTTTTAGTAGAGGAGGCACGATTGGCCGGGTCCATCGACCGACTCAAACTGCATCATCACCTTCAGTACGGCATCTGCCTTATCGATGTCCTTTACTCCGACAAGCATGGAAGGACTCGTGCAATCGGTCGGGGTCGATATCCTAAAACTTGCGTGGCTCATAAACTGAGCGGCATGGACAAGTAAAAGGAATGCAACACACTAAGCAATTGCTGTCCATGTACTTGGTCCGTCAAACGAATCTGTCGGCTGTTCTACGTCGTACGCCCAATACATTCTAGCTGACCAACCACATGCTCCCATGTTCCGCGTCCGTGTCCCATGTCAGACCCACTGGTGCTGGTTTTCAGAGTGTGATCTCATTGCGGTGCTGGTTTACAGCTTACTCATCATACGACACCTTGCATAGGCGTCAATGTTTTCGCTGTCGTCACAGCAAATGATAAACACGTGCAACAAAAGCTAGGAGGGTTGTCAGCAGCACTTCTTCCCCGCCGGGTTCAACCTGAAGCGACAGCATACATCTTGGCATAGATGCTTGTAGTTACGACTGGAGTTGGTTTCAGGTTGAAGCGCAGGTTGACATTTCTAAGTCTGTTGACAGCAAGTTGAGCTTGAAACAAAAGACATCTGTGCGATACCCCCGCAACGCAGCAAGACGGATGTATAATCCAACTCACAGCTGCAGAGAGTTATCGCTCAACGGCGTGTCTACTCTATAGCTTTGGTCCCATCGGAGAGACTTCGAACTCAACAGTCGACTCTTAGCTGTTGGTCGTGGTCGGTACGTGCTTATTTCGATGACAATTGTGAATTGGGGAATCTGATAACTTAGTAGCGACTATCACTGACTTGCATCGTTTCCTCTTTCTGATTTCGCATCTTCCTATGGTCGCTGGCACCGTTTTCCGCTCACCACAACAATAGACGTGGGTCTCATTCACCTTGCTTGATAAGTTGTCACTTAGTTGTTGGCGGCAGCAACGGTCGATTAGTTGCACAGAAACTTTTAATTGTTGAAGACTGGACTAGCACATCTTACGCTACTGATTGAACGCCACACAGCAAGGATCATCACCGATTACTTGTAAGAAGTGGAAGTTATGGTGCTTTGGCTTAGTGTCACTGCCTCCTGTCTCTGAACGTTTACAGCAGGTTGAACCCTGTTCGTTACAGCGTCGTTTGTCCAAGTGTTCGCAGGATCGACAGCGGCTCGTAACTACTGCCGAACAACGTTAACACAGGTCCAGGAGGAGTCGCAAGAGCATGAGATCGTTTGGAAAGAAGACTTTACAGAGATAGCAAGCGTACACTGACATTTGCAACTTAAAGTGCTACAGATACAGGAAGCGGGTTCATGTCACTGCAACGTCACAGAAAGATGTTGTACAAGCACCTGGCTGATCATGTGACACACGACAAATCGTGATCCGATCCCAGTTTTCACCGAGGCGATATGAACTGGCGAGACGCAATAACTTTGCAAATGACTTTGTGATTGACAATCATGGAGTTATAAAGCACGTTGCGCTGCTTAGTCGTGCATGATACATCGCACCACATCACGTCTAGCCTGCCTTCTTACGTCAACTGCCGAGTGTCCAGTCGGCAGGTTGTGCCAGCTCTAAGTATGAGCAGATTGGTGCTTGTGATATCCTCATGATCACTAGATGCAACAACAGGCTAATATCCGTTTTCATTCGAAGCAGCCAGGGCAGGGCGTATGTGATGCGATGAGAAGTGATGTGCGAGAAGCGGCATGATAAGACTGTCCACGGCTCCCCGCCAACACATTCAGTGCGACGGAAGAAATAAGGCCGGAGCAAAGCAGCAACGCAGAGCTACCGCGAAGAGTGACGAACGGGCACTGGACTTGAATTCACTAACAAACGCCACTAAAAGACATGCCAGTCGATGTCAGCTTTCCCACTCCGAAAAACACGAAAACGCCAAGAAAGCTATGGATGAGAAGTGACATGGCGGCACTATCTATCGACTCTGGTATTACAAGCCCCATTTTTTAACACACTTGAAAACTCAACATCTGTCGCCGTTATCCAGTTATGCAGATCCTTTTTCTGCACAAAACTGCATCATACCTGCTTCCCAAAGTTAAAGTGTACACCTTATTTTAGCACATCGTTTTCCGAAGCATTGGATTGCGTCATCCGACCTCGTCATATCAAGTCAGTCGACTGTGATCATGACTCTGACGCCGGCCGAGCAAGAAACACTACGCTTTTGGTGCCACGAGTGCGGCGTCGGAGTGGAGACGCGCGTCGAAGAGTCTAGTGGGGAGATTTGCTGTGTGCAATGTGGCAGTAACTTTGTGGAGGAGATCGAAGAGGTCTGTCTTGTCATACTGTGTTCGTCTCCCGGGTGCTTCGTCGCTCTTCAATCTGATGTGGCTATGACTATTCTTGTGATTATCATCAAACTGTCATTTGTATTGCCATGATTGTAATGATATTTGGCCGTTGTTATGTTTTGAATCAGGATGATCCACCGCAAAATTTTCGAATTGAATATATCGAAGAGACGCCGGCGCAGATAAGTGGAGCTTTCTCGGGAGAAGGAGCTAATGTCCAAGCTGAGATTCACAATGAGTTCGGCGAAACTCGTCCCCTGCCGCGGTATGAACCGATTTTATCTACTGTTCGTTTTGATGTCATGTGCTTTAATTCGTACGTTTTCATTGTGTGACTTGATGGTTATTAGCCTTACAGGTCGAGCGGTACGGTTCCCTGCTTCGAATGAACGAGATGGACACTTGCCGCTACCTACGTGCGCTTCCCTCTTTGCTTTGTAGTGCGTGTCGTACAGAGTGAAAACTTACGCAGCTCTCTTTGGATGCGTGCGAAAGTCTGTTCCAATTTATGTCGGACGCTACTGGTAATGGACGGGGTACGCGCTTCATGAGTAGCACGGGGAACCCCGTCGAGTTTTACGTCAGTGAGTCGGGAGAAGGAGGAGCAGGGGATGCGCTTGGCATTTTGGACACTTTGGGTGGCATGTTCCCGATGCTTGCTGGCAACGCGGGCGACTATGCATTTGGCAATATGGCTAACGTAATCAACCAACTCATGCAACACGACCCGAACCGGGTACGTGACTCATTGGTACATTGCTGCTTATGACGTGCAGAAAACAAAGTGACGCGCTGATGATTCTGACAGCATGGAGCTCCTCCTGCCGCGAAAGAAGTCGTGGAAATGCTGCCGAAGGTGAAAGTAACTCAGAATGAAGTAGATGGGAGCGCTGAATGCCCTGTCTGCAAGGACTTATTCGCTGTCGACGACGAGGTTCATTGCCTACCGTGCAATCACTCCTTTCACCCCGACTGCATCGTGCCTTGGCTGAAGCAGCACAATTCGTGTCCACTTTGTCGATTCGAGCTGCCTACAGATGATCCTGATTATGAGCGACGGCGTGCGGCATCTTCGTCCACGTAGGGTGTCAGGTTTGGTATCACGAACGCAATTGTTACGCTCTCACTTCCACTTTTTATCAAAGAGGGCATCGCTCATATTTCTAAACTAGGCAACATCGGTAGTTTCGTAGTCATCGTACTGATATACACGGGCAAAAGAATGACAGCACTGGGTTGTGCTAAAGAAGCAATGTAAACGTGAAGGGATGGCGTACGTCGTGCTCTGTATTGAGACGTACTAAACGCAGTGTCGTGCTAACACGGTATTGTGCATTAAATCGGTATGCTCAACGTCTTATGTTGCATCCAGTCGTGTCGAATACAGTGATGTGCCATTAAAGCTGCGTTTAAATACGTCTTATTCTGCTTCTGCCACCCCACAGTTCTCTAGTAGGCTGGAAATAGATACGAACGACTTCGTGCTGTTGACTTGCTACAACTTATATCTCGCCAATCTCTCACATATTTTACGAGTGATGACGATTTGCTGATTTAGCACAGTAGAACTTGTTTAAAGTAATATTGCTGGGACCGATGTCATGGTATTACTTTACGAAGGTTATTATTTTAGGCAGGAACACAAAATTCATGGATTTTTTTCAAGTTGTGCCTCGTAACTTCACGTACACTCGTACGTGCAGAGGAAGACGGTAAGAAGAAGCGAGTACTTGGTTAGAGTAAAAAGTAGAACTGTATTTATAATAGTTAATGTCTGTTAATAAATCACTATTTATCTTCATCTAACTATGTCTAAATACAAATGTGTAAATCAACTATCTGCTCACCACTCATTGCGTGCGTATGTCGTGGCGCGTCTTCGTTGGTTGATATAATGGCCTACATCAACCAATTAGGAACTACTCGTAAGTGCTACAGAACATTTGTCCTTATGACAATATTCTGAGAATATAACTCTTATAGTTATATTCTAGTAACAAATTCTTATAAATTGTTATGTAACGATTCACCCCGTTACATCACCCCCCCTTAACCATCAGTCACTTTAGTGACTGATTGACTAAATGGATACTCGTCCCAAATCATTTGGGACAGGGTTTGCACTTGTTGGTCCGCGTCCACTTTCCAACAATTCATCGCATGGTTAACAAGCCCATTCGATGCGCGAGCAAGGCCGCCGAGAGCGCGTCTGCACGTCTCTGTGCGGACGCCGAAGCAGAAACCACAGCAACTGATGTCTCATCGTTTGCTGAAGCGACTCAGCCTGTGTCACTTGGTGATGCAGGCGCTGGTCATGAAGACACTCGTGTCTTCACAGAGTATGAGCTCGGTGTCTCGTACTCTCCTGATAACGGAAGACGGATCCGTATCGACGGCGATCGAATCCAAGCCGCCTGCCAAGCGTGGCATGGATGATGTTATGCGTCGTAGCATCTTTGGTTCATCTGATGAATCAGATGAACCATCGCCGAAGCGAAGGCGCTCGAAGTCACAAGACTCGGGCGCTAACAGTTGTGTCGGTTCTCCTATGGACACCACTTCACAGCGAGGTGCCAGTCCTTCTGTCGGCACGTCGCAGGAAGAGCGGGACCGCAATGTCTTGCGTCTCGCTCCAGAAAAGAAGGCATGGATGCCTCCCAAATCCGTCATGGATCACTTGTCGGCGACGACGAGTGATCGTTATCGAACACGATTGTTCGATTCGTCAAGGATCCATCACCTTGACCCCAGCGCGAAAAACTATCGCGCTGAACACGAATTCTTCATCGATGCTTTCTTCAGACATCGATGGTACAGTGGGAATCACAAGCGTGATGGTCCCTCACTACTTCAAGCGTGGAACGCCTACATCCATAACCTCGAGGATGTAGGTCGTGACGTTTGGAACGACAAACTTATCAAAGCTCGTGATAAGTTTGAAAAGCGAACCCCGACAGGTGCACGCTACAAGCTGCATCGTCTGTCAAGGGAGAAAGGATTACCCTGCCTCTCTTGGGGAGACTCGTGCCCATGTTGTGTGAACAACTCTGCACGAGCACCTAAGGAGGCTTACCTCCTTACTAGCCCGTGGTGGCGCGTACGTGTCTCTACTGAGATGTACGAAGGGATTGACAACCTGAAATCCCTTTACGACCGTGCCGGGTGGATTTCTCCGGCGGTCCTTCTGCGGCACAGGATGTGCCGCGTCGTACTGCTCAACCAGACCCAGTACGTCAACCATCAGTTGGGAGCGGGGCTCCCAAGAATCCCAGGACGGGGGATAGCCGCGCCACCGGACGAGATAACTCGTCCGACGTCCGTTCACGTCGCGGTGGTTCAACAGCTGCTCAACTAGATAGCGCTGGCCACCGCGAGAGTCCTCTAATGGAGGTGGAGGAGGAGGAAAGACGCTCTCCACACGATCAAGGGGAAGCGTGTGTTCCCGAGAGCTTCTTTGATCGCGTAACGCAAGGGTTACGCGGCGATCTCGAACATGAGCGGGACAGGCGTCTCCAACTGGCGGACACTGTCTTGAAGCATCGAGCTGAGTTTGCCTTTGCTCAGCTTGAGAACGAGAGAGCTCTGACATCTCTTCGTGGCGAGCTAAGGGTAGCTCGTGGGATTGTTGATCGGTCTCGGGATGAGATAGCTGCTCTTCAGACCCTTGTCGATGCCCACCATCGGGAGCACAAGGCTCTCTGCGGAGATGCTTGAGCGCAAGGGCGTTCTTCATCGGAAGAATCAGCGTACTGATGGTACGGCTTAAGCCGAACAACGTAAAACGTGGGATGCGTTCGCATCTTACGTGGCAACTCGATCGTGTATGCATTGCCTAGGCGGTGCAATACACGAAATGGGCCGATGTACTTGGGTAGTAGTTTACTGCTACCCAAGTTAGTCACTACATGCTTTGGTAGATTAACCGTAGACAGTAGGACTAAGTCACCTTTATTAAATAAAAGAGTGTTTGCCCTTCCATTCTTGTCAGAGTTTTGCTTTTGCTTATCCACCGCTTCGGCGATGGAGTCTTGCACAAAACGGACTACCGTTCCATGAGCCAGTATGAACTCATCTGATGACTCGTTAGCTTCAGTGCGATGTAAGCGCACTGCAGCAACATGAACCTTTTTTTCAGTGAGGGCTTCCGCACTCTCACTGGCATCATCTTCTTCGATATCGATGTTATCGATATCGGCATCAAACGCAATGACCTCTTTGTCAGAGCGTGATGAGCGTGAACCAAATCGGTTTTTGCTCGAGCGAGTCCCTCCCCCCCTTAAACCAGAGTTACACTCTAGTAAGGTGGGTACACGCGGATGGCGCAAGCCATTCCCGTAAAACGGTGTATGTGTCGTGGACGCATGCACCGAGTTGTTAATGGCAAACTCTACCATTAGCAAAAACTCACTCCAACTCTTAAAGGAGTGTACGTATCCTCGAAGTATCTCTTCAAGGACACGATCGGCACGTTCCGTCTGACCATCTGACTCTGGATGATCAGATGTCGACATCTTCAAGCGCGTTCCGAGTGATTTGAACACGGAACGCCAGAAATCAGCAGTGAATCGTGGATCTCTGTCTGATACGAGTTCACGGGGCAACCCATGAAGTCGGAAGATGGTGTCAATAAAGACACAAGCACAGCCACTTGCCGTGATTGTCTCTGGTACAGCCACAAGGTGTAACATTTTGCTGAATCTGTCAACAAATACGAGAATACCCGTATTCCCGCGTGCGTCTTTGGGTAACCCGAAGACTAAATCCATTGAGATGGATTCCCAGCACTCAGCCGGAACTGGTAGAAGCTGTAAAGGTTCACGCAGTGAAGGACTTGACTTCACTCGTTGACAGACTTCGCATGCGCGAACACACTTTCGCACAAACTGATACTGGCGGGGCCAGTAAAAGTCTCGACTCACCGTGAGATATGTTTTCTCTCGGCCACGATGTCCTCCTATAGGAGCATCGTGATACTCGAACATGATCCGCAAACGCAGATCAGTATCATCTGGAATGACAACACGTGGTGTGTCACCAGAAACGGCTGTATAGTACAGTAAACCGTTGCGAGTAGTGTATCGATCTGATGCAGATCGATACGCAGACGACAATCGTTTCAACGATTCTCGAGATGGTTGGGAGAGATGTGTCAACAACTTCACTATCTCACCATCTTGGGCGTATGCCCGCCTCACATCATCATACAACGTTGTAGATGGGACTGAGGACGTCATAACCGCAACAGTGACTGTCTCACTGTTGGGTTTCACGACTGGTTCAAAGTCGGGACGACGTGAGAGTGCATCAGCGACGATATTAAGTCGTCCTGGTTTGTACTTGACCGTAAAGTTGTATTCTGCAAAGAATGACAACCACCGCGCCATTCGTTGTGAAAGGTGCGGGCTGTTCACTGCCGTGCGTAATGACGCATGGTCAGTGTAAACAATGAAGGGTCTATCTCCTAATAGATAGACTCTGAACTTCGCGAGCGCACACTTCATGGCAAGGAGTTCCTTGTCATTCACTGGATAGTTCCGCTCAGCTGGTTGCAGCTGACGCGACTGATAGCAGACGACGCGTTCAACGCCTTCAAGATCGTACTGCATTAATGCACAGCCGATTGCGAAATCACTGGCATCACAGACCACATGAAATGGCCTGTCTTGATCGGCTATTGCTAGGACTGGGGATTGTATCAAGCTCTGCTTGATACCATCAAAGGAGCGCTGACATTCAGCGTTCCATAACCACCTCTCGTTCTTTTTCAACAAACGAGAGAGGTGTACAGTCATCTCGGCGTAATTGCGTGAATACTTATGCAAATACACCGCTAGCCCAAGGAATTTCTGAAGACCTTTGACATCAACCGGCACAGGCCAGTCGGTGATCGCCTTGATCTTTTCGGGATCAGGACGTACACCGTTCTTACCAACGATGCACCCAAGAAGTGGTATCTCGCTTGCTGCAAATATTCACTTCTTGAGGTTTGCATACAATTGATGCTTTCGCATGATTGTAAGAACCTGTCGGACGTGGTACCTGTGAACCTCAACGTCCGACTTTCCATCCATAGCTCGACTATGGATGAATACGTCATCGAAATAACTCGGCGCGAATTCTCGTACTGGTCTCAACAGATGTGATACACATCTGTTGAACGTGGCAGGGGCATTACTAAGCCCTTGTGGCATTACTAGCCATTCCCAGAGCATGCCGCTAGGCGTGCTAACTGCGGTATAGGGTATATCCCGTTCTCGCATAAGGATTTGATAGAAGCCATCCATCAAATCCATGGACGAAAGATGGTACTCTTTGACATACCATCAATGATTACGTCCTTCCTCGGTATCGGCGTCTGAGCCGGTACCGTTGCAGCGTTCAATTTGTTGAACGCGTGCACTATCCGCCACCCTCCTGTTGCTTTTCGCACACAGAAGGTCGGAGAGCTATGTGGGGAAGTCGATTCCCTCACATGGCCCGCAGCTAAACGATCGGCAAAGAACTTATCAATCGCAAGTACTTGTTCACGAGGCAGTGGCCACTGCTTCATGACACAGTACTTCGAGCCTATTTTAAGCTCGACCTCGTGTCGAATACCTTCATCCTTCGGTAATTCGCACGGAACAGTTTCAGGGAATACATCCTTGAATTCAACCAAATCTTCATAGAGAGGATTTGTCTTGAGCGATTCCCATGATTGGGAGTCATATCGCTCAATTCGTGTCTTTTCATCTAGGACACTCTCGTCCATAGATGAACTACTGAGAACTCTCTCGTTCTCAGTAAACATTGTTGCTGACCTTATGTCGGATACACACTCGTCGTCAGCGACGAGTAAGCAGATCTGCTTGACTTTGCCACTACGCAGATCACGCAAGAAACTTTTATGTTCGAGCGTTGGCAACTGAGTGATCTCCGAAGTTAACTTCGGAGGCGCAATCAGATCAAGTGTATAAGCGCCTACACTTGATCCGTTATTGAATATGACATTAATGTCTCTGTCATTTCCTGGGGACTTATTCCCTCAGGCTTCGAAGGACTTATTCCTTCGGCTTCCCGGGGACTTATTCCCACGGGTTTCGGGGAACTTATTTCCGCCGTATTTGTAATCTTGGGACTTATTCCCTTTACTTCCTCTAGCTGGGGTTGCCCAACCACAGCGAGATCCTCTACGAAAAACTCTCCAGTCGATCTAGGATTATCGTTTCGCTTAACCTGAGCGATCGATTGTTTCTCTTCTAGATGTTCCCCGCTAGGGATACATCTTTGTCCCAGTCCACCCGACTTATTCGAGTGGTGGACCTTCGGCGCAGCCTGTGTTTCCTCACAGCCGCCGGAACTTTGCTCCGAAGTGTAACCGTTTGGTACACTAAGGTTTTGTGCAGTCGTACTAACGACCGTACCACAAGTGAGGCCATCGCACTCACTCGTAGTACATCCACACGCTTGTGGACGCTCCAAAACGTTCATCAGATGGCCATCTGATGAACAAGCGGCAGGCATCGTTACTGTTCGATGTTGCCAGTTTACTCGCGGTTCGTACCTTCTGAGCCACGGTATTCCAAGGATGACATCAAATTTGTCATCCAAATCCAAACGATAAAGTCATCGTCATATTGGGTATCTTCTAGCGTATAGTGGATCTTCACTATACGCTTCATGACGGTTACGGATGCGCCTGTCGCAAGACGTACCGTCATCCTCGTTGGAGGTGTGTCACATTCACTGAATTTAAAGTGACCATCTTCTAGCGATTGGCGTCGCACAAAATTGTTGGACGCCCCACAATCGACTAGAGCTCTAAGGGACAACTTATTCGTCACTTCGAGCTTCAAGGTAATGAGGTCTCACTCATTACCTAGAGCAGCAACGCACAACGTTTGTGTTGGGAGCAACCTTCATCAAGAGGCCTACAAATTCTCTTGACGTTGCTGGACCAGTAGGGTGCTCCGCACCTACTGATCCTGTCCGTTTTTTGACGGTCCATCCCGTTGTTGCGTCTTTGCACCAACGGCGGACCCGCGTCCCTGCCCTTTTCTCATGGGTGGACGGTCACTACGCCCAGTGTCGCGAGACACTGGACGAGGGGCACTACACTCGTAAGCGTAGTGTCCTGTATTCTGACATCTGTTGCATCTCTGCAACTTCTTGTAGTCTGTAGAGCGAGCCTTCTCGCTCTCTACATAACAGAGTTCCATCGGCTCTGGACCTCCGCTGTCATATCGTCTCGGTTGAAGATACGATGTCGAGCTGGCGCGAGCCTGTCTCAGACTGAAGTCTTCCTGTTCCGCAATGGAAATGGCTTGTTCTAGTGAATCTAGTTCAAGCCGGAACAGGTGAGTCTTGACGGGACCATCCGCAAGACCCTGCATGAACACCGAAACCAACGTGTGTTCATCCACCGGATTGGAACTTATACAACTCGTAAGATGTCGTATATGTTGGGCGTAAGCGTGCACATCACGCTTACCCTGTTTGAGCTTCAAGAGTTCGGTTCGAGCTCTGAACTCAGCTCTAGGCGGTTCAAACGTTTGTCTGAGCCGCGACTTGAAGACTTCCAACGACCCAAACGCATATGGGTCGTGCAACTTGAGCCCCAGTGCCCAAGTCTTGGCACGTCCTGCCAGATTTGACTGGGCAAATGCAACTTGCATATCCCCGTCGTCGATGCGACGCGCCCTTATGGCGTCATACAATTCGACGAACCATCTCAG